AAAGGCAGAAAAGAATAATCACGATGGTTATAAGACCAAGATTTCGTATCAAATTCCTAAATATACCAAGGAACAGACCCACAGAAAATTTCGCAACATATATTATCCTCCAAGTCAGCAAATATCATCCAAATTTCATATATGATATGGATTTCGCCAAGTATTTTACAAAGTTCAAATAATATTTTACATATTGTCTGTATTTGACAAAATTCTATAGTATCTGTACATCCATTAGCCGCTAATCTTTTAGAAAATAAGAAACCTTTCTTTTTGTGATTTTGGGTGAAAAATGTAGGGCTTGAATGAGCTCTCTTTTTCAGATTTTCAGTATCCGTCTGTTACAATAAGACTTTTTTCAAAGTATGCAGTGAAAAAAGTAATTTTTGCACTGGACGTGTTTGTTATCGATGCTCCAGCTGATTGATCTGGCTGAAGCCGAATTCTCTAGCTGCGCCAGCTATTTTTGCATCCCGAACTGAGCTTGGTAGCCCTTCCCCTATGGAAATAGTTCATGAAAGTTCGGTTGTCCAGATGTAGCATGATATAATTTCACAAGCCAAAAGCGCAAAGAAGGAATACAGAATACGGGATGGATGAACGAAACAGCGAGATTAATGTTGGAAAATGACGAGAAAAAGAATGTAAAGTAAGTTTTTTTTTTTTAAGGAAGATGGATGTTACGACAGCAGGCTTCCAGATGGGTAACTTTCGAGTGCTTCCGCCCCTGGAATGGAGTGAGTTATGGAGGAGTTCTTGACTCCGCTATGAGAAGAGGATGTAGCGTAAGTTCGAAACCAATATAACAACACAAGATGAATATCAAGATAAATAGGTTCTAGATGATCTGGAAGATTTGGAATTTCTACGATTAGTAAATATGAAGGCTATAAAAGGAGTGTAAAAGAAAAAAAAAACAAGAATCCTCAATGGAAATACTTCGGGCCATTGAATTGTACACATTCCTATTCAGCACTGTAACTAGATTTCATCGGTACGGCGGTTGCAGTGTTATATTTTTTTATATATAAAAAAAAAAAGGAAAGAGGAGATAAAAAAGTAAAAAGAATTAAGTGAAGAAA